GGCTACTGCATTTTATAAGCAGTATTAGTACAATTCCGACCTCGCTCCTACGTGTACCCAACTCCAGGGTATGTCACTAGGAATGAGTGAAGGTTTTAAGGAGTACGCGCAAAAGTGGAGGGACCTGGCTGGAAGGGTGCAGCCACCTTTGACGGACCGTGAGCTTGTCGACATGTTCTTGGGAACCCTGTCCGGTCCATTCTTCAATCATCTGATTGGGAATTCTTCTGCTGGGTTTATGGATCTGATATTAACCGGTGAGAGGATAGAAGCTGGCATCAAGTCGGGGAAGATACAGAAAGGTGCCTCCTCGAGTACTGAAAAGAAGCCCTTCAAGAAGGAAGCTAGTGTTATGTATGGTCCCAGGAGACAGAATAAACCGGAACGCCGCTGAAACAACCGGCTGAAAATCATCAAAATAATGAAGTCGCCATCGAACGTCTTTTATCCCACATGAAGGGAAAGGTAAACATCGAGAAAACCTGAGAAGGGTGAAATCATGGTCGAACGACCAAGAGATAAGGGTAAGGGAGTCTGTTACGCGAGGGGAAGGTATTAGCACCCCACACGCCCGTAGTACTCTACGGTATCCACTCTTGTTATCTATCTTATGGGTGTGTCTAATCTACACTTACTGTTTATTATACTACTAAAGGGAAAATGCATGCGAAATAAGGAGAAAAGAATGTAGGGAAAATAAAAGTTGTGCTCGTTCGGGCCCTACCCCGATGCCTACGTATCCCTTTTAAGGAATCAGAGCAGCCGTAGTTCGGCTTATATGTTTTTGTTTGTTTGCATTTTTTACTGAACAATATTAATTTCGCCTTCTGCCGCAACTCGACCGTTGGAGACTTACGCGTCAACACAGAAGTGAATTAACATGCTCTTCTGAAAAGTTTGGAAAGAAATGTGCCTGGACGCACAAAAAGTTTTGAATTCGTTTGTTTTTGAATGAACGATAGTGATTTCGCCTTCTGCCGCAACTCGACCTTTGGAGATTTACGCGTCAGCACAGAAGTGAATTGGTACGTTCTTTTGAAAAGAGTTTGAAAGGAAGGGCCCGAAGGCAAAAAGAGTTTGTATTGGTTGGTATTTTTGCTTGTAGATAATAGCTAGTTGATCTCAAGAGAGAGATTTTAGCCATGTCTCTACTTATTCATGAAATGAGTCTTTGAGACTTGAACCATACCAAAGCTTAGAACAAGAGAATAATAAGGTCGAGAAGAAACCCGCTTATCATCTCTCAAACTTAGCCAAGACGTGGTTCTTGTCAGTAAATTTCCATTTTTTTGTATTTTTGAAGTTTTGTAAAAAAAGAAATTTTTGTTATTATAAATGCATATGTGAAAAGGGAAAGAAACGTTATAGGGAGACTAGCCTAAACCTGATTCTATCACACTTCATATGATCTATGGGAAAAGATAAATGCAAGGTAAAATAGAAAGAAAGTATACCAAACGGATACTAGCCCGTAGAGCAAAGTAGAAAAAGCAAAGATACTTGATGTTCTTGCGAGCTGCTAGCACCAACAAAGAAAAGAGTCAGAAACCCCATTATTGAAGCATCTTTTAATGTGAAAATGAATCACAATCGGCATCTCGAACATATCCATATAAAACCTGTATAAGACTCGAATCTTGACGAGCACAGTGAATTACCAGTTTCGAGTAACCGAATAATTATGAATTAATTTCCAAAGGCAAAATAATAAAAAGAATATAATAAGTTCTCCTCTTTTCTTTTCTTTTTTTTTTGATTTAACTATTTGAAATAACAATTAAATAAATGAATAATAATAGGAGAAAAAGAAATAAAAGAATTCCAAAACGACGGCGTTTGCTGTAAACGACCCCTTCCAGCTCCTTCACACAGAAAGCCTTTCTTCTACATGTCGACAACAACAATGGCGATGCCTCCATGACTCCACCCCTTCTCCCCTGTTCTGATTCAACGTTCTTGCTAACACCACCTAACGTCTCCCTCTGAATTCGATTCCTTTGCTTGCTTTCGTCAATTTCTCTTCCTCTATTCCGAATCTAACAACGAAACTTAAGCTCTACATTTCTTCCGGTCAAGATTACATGGTGGATTTATCGTTCGCCGCATTTTATCCTTCGCGGTTATGGTACAGACCAAGCAAAAAAAAAGTCATAAAAAGAAGAAGATTGAGGATTACCTATCGAAGGCACGTTGGTAGCGCTTCAGAAATCTAGAGGTGAAGTAATACAGTTATTGTTTTTTCTTGATCTTGTCTACTTCGTCTTGATTCTCTCCTCACTGTCTTCACTTTTTCTTTGGTCTGGAGTTGCGTGCGTTGGCGATAGGGGAAGAGCGGAAATGATGACAATTATGAAGATTATCGCGAGTTGAGAAAAATGAACTTTGTATGATGAATCAGAGAGAAGTGAAGCTTTGAGAACTAACTAAAGGTTGAACAATGGAGAGTGGAGGTGAAGACGGAGTTTAGAGAAGGGAAATTGAAGATTATGAGAGTTCAGAAAAATTGAGAGTGAATGATGGAGAGGGAAGAAGTTGTTTTGAAGCTGATACAATGATGGAGTTCTGAAACTGGAAAAGAGAGAGTGGCCTCGTCCCCTCAAACTTGGAGGGAGTTTGGATTATATAGGTAGTTGAGGGAGGAAACGGTTATGTGGGAATCAATCTGAACCATTGATTTGGATAGAGTTTGTTAGGGATTGAAGGGTGAGATTGAGAGTTGGTTACAAGGTGGTTATGCTAGTTGAGAATTCTGTTTTCCTGGATATGAACCTCTTTACTATTATATGACTAGTATCCTTTAAACTTTTTAACTTTCACCCTCATGACATGACCTTATCAAGTTAGAAAAATGAACGAGTAGATTCCAATCTTAAAAATAATATATCATCAGAGCTGCAATGCAAGATTTGGCTGTAGCTGAGGACCAGTTTCGATATTGGAGCTCCATGAATTTGTTGCCTCAATCATCCTATTTTGATCCATAAACTTTACTTGGCTGGTCAGATGTATCAATCGTAGCTTGTAACTTGCTATCATTAATCAGTGTAAGGAAAGGATCAACAGTTTTATCCGTCAATGTCATTTTGGCGATAGATATGAGAGAGAGGATGTTGTAGGCCTTGGATGTGAAGATAATCATGGATGTTGCTAGTGTAAAGAGAGACCTGCGGCGTGATGCTTGCAGTTTAACGTTTTTATTGAGAGAAATGCTCCTCAAGGAAAATGCCAACTGGAAACTTTGAACTAGAGCCTCATGAGAAGAATTCTTACTCCGAGCAACTAGCAGGACAAGGCAGTAGGTATGAGCAATTGCTTCAAAATTTTCAGGTGTATTCAGGGGATAGATGGACTGGACCCAGATTGATGATAGTAAAAGGGTAATCTGATGAGTACTCAGCCTAATCGGCAATACCTGTTGGTTATCGGAACTATTTACAACATTTTCTTCAACAGGTACAGACAATTGAGGCCTCTTCACACTAGTTACCCGGCTGTAACTTGACTTCAATCTATTCATCATAGAAGGGTTATTAGCCAATTTTCTTGAACTGGTCCGACTATAACTTGACTTCAATCTGTTGAGAACAGAGCCATCATTGCTCTTTCTATCTGACTGACTATCTTCTTTCGAGGAAAGTTGCTTCTTCTCCAATTTCTCAAAGAGTGCAGCTGAAGAAGAAAACACGGAGACATTTCTCGAGAGCATTCTCTGAATATCAGTTGACTTTGGCATTGGGGGATTTGAAGAAGAAGGTTGAGGACAAACTGACGATGGCACAAGAACAACAGAAAATATGCGGTGTGCACCCACTCTGGTTTCAGGGTCTGCATGGACCATTGCCAGGAGTAACTGATGAAATAATGCCTCGGGAAATGCCTTGTTATGATATGACAAATTGGGTATAGAAGCAACTATTTGAGAAGTTCTATAAACTGCGGCAATCAAGGTTCTGGCCATAACTGTAATATTAGACATGTTTTCCAACAACACTGCCATGGTATCAAGAACAAGGCCTGCGTCTGAAATCTTAATTGTTAGCTGTATAAGGCATTCATCTACTTCCATTCTGTATTTTTGGTTCCATTGTATTACTTCAGCCCCTAAGTTTGAATCATCAATAGAGCAGTGTATGCTTTTTCGCAGGTGTCTCATCATATCACTCAATGCACCGATTATAGCCACAGATTGCTGAACTCTTGTTTGTTGAGCAAGATGGGTAATAACACCAACAATATCAAGCTGCATATTAGGATTCTTTAAGACATTCTTGTGATCAAGGTGCTTAACTAAAATGGACAGTAACAAGTGTGTATTCTGTCCAGCATTTTCAATTATAGACTGCATGTCTAGCAAGACAGATAGAGCAAGCCCGTGATCTGGAGACCAGAGATTGGCATTATCAAAACAACGGAAAAGGGATTCCAGAACACGCCGTACAGTGGTACCTTCCTTGGCTAACTTAGCCATATTTTGTATGCAAACTCGCGACCAAAATCCAGGATTCACAGCATCTTCCATAGGCACATTGACTTCTCCTTTGGCATTCACTACCACTTTCCATGAATAAAGCCTAGTGGAATTCTCATTTTGAGAATCTTGCTTGATATCCCCATAGTTTTCCAAAACAACCGAAACAACATTGTCAAATTCAACTGAAATATGAGTGAACTCACCCATGAACCAAACCATTGCCGAAAGGACTTGAAGCCCAGAAGCTCTCAAATGCTCTATTTTTGCATCATCTCCCATTTGTTGAGCTAGATGGCATAGTTTTAAAATGAACCCATCTAAATTAAACATATAAGTACCATCATAAACAGCACTAAGCCTTGCAAATGCCTGGGGAAGCTCTCCTAAACCATACAAAGGGTATATGTAGGGTGATCCCCCTTGAAATCGTGCAAGAGACTCTGCATATAATTTCATTCTCTTCACAATGTCCAGAGCTGGCTCACTGATCCAAACAGGTTGAAACCGTCATGCCAAAGCCTTATCCTTTTCAAAACGAAGCCTGTATTCTGTTGCTATTTTTATTTCTTTCAGAACTGTCATAAGCTTGCTTAGTCCTTAAGAAAAGCAAGAAACTTGAAACCAATCCAACAATTGAAATGCAACCCCCACCATATAAATGTCTGCACATAGCATTTCCTTCCCATGCACAAAGACATCTCGCGCAGCCATATCGATTGTCCTGAACTTGTGGCCTTAGAGTCATAAATCAATGCTGCAAGAAGGCCATAAAGACATGAACCTAAAGGAATGTTTGTGATGAGGATGTTGTGGTTCACACCAACACTGTTTGGACCAAATAGCTCAGATGTTATAGATACTGCCACAGAAAACACAAAGCCAGAACTTAATCCAATTAAGCTTATGCTTAATTGTAACGCCGTTTTAGTACCGGATATGGCTAGTAAAATAAATGCAATTGGTGTTGGCACCAAGGCTGCTGCAAACCATCCAGTTCTTGCAATGTGTGTCTTGCTGCTAAATAAGTCGGGTGCGGCTGCAAGAAGCCGACCGAAAAAGGAGCACGTGGAATAAAGTGTCACAAGAGAACTTGTCTCAGAGTTATATCCAAGTGATTGAGAAATTTGTCCCAAGTTATTACTATAAACCAATCCAATTGTTCCTCCACAGAAATAAGCAATGTAATATAACCAAAAGTCCCACCTACGAATCAACATCTTAGTTGTATGTTCTTCGCCAAGCATTGTAATCTTTTCCTTTTCCAACACATTCGCAAAACAATAACTCTTCTCAATCATCGAGCTTTGTACACTTTCGTTACTCCTTACATCATTATCCTCCTTATAAATGAGTTCTTTGTGAAGTTCGTTTTCATCGTTATTGTCAACAAGAGAGAAAATTGTAGGGAGAGTACAACAAGACAATTGTTTCAAATTCACAATGCTTGGCAAGAAAAAATGCATTGCTAAGAGAAAAATCGCGCCGACGAGGATAACACGGGTGACGGTCAGGGAGGACGAGGAGAGGGAATATAGGAAGAGAAGGTAAAGGCCTGTGACAAGTGCAAGGATGTTGAGGCAAAGAAAAACTATGGACTCACAGAGGTTAAGTGAGTTGGTGGGATGTTGTTGAGGTTGTGGTTGTTGTTGGAGAACTGGAATGAGTACTAATGCTGAAATGAGGAGAGGAACAGTGGCATTGAGTAAGAGATAGAGAGTGTCATTGTTTGAGTTTATTGCATTGGCAATAAGAGTGTAGAAAGCTGCACTTACACCATTGAAACTGATGCTTAAAGATAATGCAAGTGAACGGTTAGTTGTGAAATTTTTTATGCATAATACATAGCAGATTGTGTTGAACCAGCAAATGCTACATCCTGCAATCAAGCATAGGAAAAATACCAGAAAGTAAGGCAAAGCAATCAATCTCTGAATAACAAGCCACTGGAAGCCATAACCAAGAAGTCCCAAGAAAGCAGACATGAACATAACAATCCACAAAGGAAAATACATGAGTGAAAAACCAGAACACCACCCAAAAGCTTTCCTCATATCAGATGCCACTGAAAGACAATTCAGTTGAAACTGAGTTATCTCAAGAACTGATTTCAGCTCAGATGAATATGATGAGAAATCAAAGTTTGTCCCAGTGAATGCTTGTATCCAAACAATAGCTTGTACCAATTATTCGTAATGCCTTGACTGTCAAGCAACCAAATTTACCATACAAAATATCTTGAATCATGACGTCCCCAATCCTGATTGATTAACTTAAGGATAGATGAACTTAATGCAACAATGACATGGTCAACAACCTGTAATGCAAGCATCATATGCATCCTGGATTGATAACAGATCTTGATCCTTTAGAGAAATCTTAATACCCCTCTAGTATTGACAAAACCTTGACCAAATGATAAGCACAATGATAGAATGAGGTGTTTTGAATCATGTACGCGAGATCACAATATTACATTATTGATAGGAATACCCTGCAACCTATTGTTCAGCAGAAGATAATAGCCTTGTAGCTTGATGGAGAAGAAAATCCAAAAATGAGAATGAACCAACCCTAATTCCACAACTTGCTACCTGAATAAGAAATCATCCCTTATTGGATACGAGCACCTTAACCACTGGGAAACCCTAGTATCGCACAACCACTGGACTTTGAATCCCAGAGCTATATTGAATGAAATGTATGCCATGTTAGTGACCTAATGAAATAGATGCAGATGAATGCAAAAGTATAGGCCAAAAATAAAAGAAATTAGGAGGGCAAATTTTGGGGTGCAACAGCCGCCAAGCTGTCAACGCGGTGGTAATTTCAAAGCCTGCTGCTGCTCCTCAGCAATACAACCAGCCAAGGGGTGAGAGGCCCAAAAGGCATTACACTCGGCTCAGTATAACCCTCTCTCAGATATTGCCGCAATTACTGTCAACCAATCTGGTAACTGTCAAAGAAGCTCCGAAGGTAGTGAACACCACATCTCCGAAGTACAATCCCAACGCCCGCTGTGCTTATCACTCTGACAGCCCGGGGCATACTACAGATGATTGTTGGGCTCTGAGGAATAAGGTTCAGGACCTTATTGATGCTAAAGAAGTACAGTTAGAGGCGCCCGAAAGGCCCAATGTTGTGACTGCTCCCATGCCCAATCATGGAGTAAATGCTATTAGGGATGAAGACGACGTGGAGGAATCTAAATTCAACAGCTGGATCTACCCAGCAACCAACGGTGGACCAAGCAATTGGACTGCCAAAGACTTCATGCCTATTACTTTTGTCACTCAGTAATGAACTCCTTTGTTTTGAATTTGTAACAAACAATAATTTGAAACTTTATGGCCCGGTGTCTTACCCGGGGCACCGTGGTTTCATTTGTGAGGGCTTATTATTTGTCATCTTCATATATCATGAATAAAAGCAATGGACGTTTTTCGTATTTCAAATCTTGTGCTCCTTTTCTTTCTTCATATATTGCAAAACAGCTATATTTACACACACTCACCTATACAAGTTCCAATCCACTCTGGATCTCACTGGTAACGACTCTGCTACTGCCAGTTATGACTTTGAAAATCTGATCAACTTAGCCGAAGATGAAGGTGAAGATGATTGCGAAGTGCCTGGTGAACTTGCAAGACTGCTGCTCCAGGAAGAAAGGGCCATTCAGCCACATGAAGAGCCAGTGGAAACGGTAAATCTGGGTACAGAGACAGACAGAAAGGAAGTCAGGATTGGTGCCAATCTGGAGGCTAGTGTGAAACAACGTTTGATTCAGATGCTGCATGACTACGTGGAAATCTTTGCCTGGTCTTACGAAGACATGCCTGGGTTGGATACCGACATCGTGGTTCATCACCTGCCTACCAAGGAAGAATGCCCTCCGGTAAAACAAAAGGTCCGTCGTATGCGGCCAGAGATGTCCGAGAAAATCAAGGCTGAGGTTATGAAACAATTTGATGCCGGGTTTCTAGCAGTGACTTCTTACCCTCCGTGGGTTGCCAACGTGGTTCCAGTGCCGAAGAAGGATGGTAAGGTCCGAATGTGTGTTGATTATAGGGATTTGAACAGGGCGAGCCCTAAGGATGATTTCCCTCTGCCTCATATCGACGTTCTGGTTGACAACACTGCTCAGCACAAGGTATTCTCCTTCATGGATGGGTTCTCAGGTTATAATCAAATCAAGATGGCTCCCGAAGATATGGAGAAGACCACTTTTATTACTCAGTGGGGCACCTTTTGCTACAAGGTCATGCCTTTTGGGTTGAAAAATGCTGGGGCAACATACCAACGTGCCATGGTTGCTCTGTTTCATGACATGATCCACCATGAGATCGAAGTATATGTCGACGATATGATTGCAAGGTCCCAAACTGAGGAGGAACACCTTGACTATCTGCAGAAACTGTTTGACCGTCTAAAGTTGTACAAACAGAGGTTGAACCCGAACAAGTGCACCTTCGGGGTGAGATCGGGAAAACTACTAGGTTTCGTCGTGAGCAACAAAGGTATTCAAGTGGACCCTGCCAAGGTGAAAGCCATACAAGAGATGCCAATTCCCAAGACAGAGAAAGAAGTCAGAGGCTTTCTAGGACGTCTGAATTATATTGCCCGATTCATCTCACATCTAACTACTACCTGTGAACCAATCTTCAAGCTGCTGAAGAAAGATCAAGTAGTACGTTGGAATGATGAATGTCAGGCCGCTTTAGACAGAATCAAAGAGTATCTCCAAGAGCCACCCATTCTTATGCCACCGGTTGAAGGGAGACCTCTAATCTTATACCTGACAGTACTTGACAGCTTAATGGGGTGTGTGCTGGGGCAGCATGACGAGTCTGGCCGAAAAGAGCACGCCATTTATTACCTTAGCAAAAAGTTTACCGACTGTGAGACCCGATACTCACTGCTCGAGAAAACTTGCTGCACTTTGGTATGGGCTGCTCACCGGCTGAGACAATATATGTTGACTCACACTACTCTGTTAATTTCAAAAATGAATCCAATAAAGTACATCTTCGAAAAGCCTGCTTTGTCCGGAAGAATAGCAAGATGGCAGATGATCTTGACAGAATACGACATCCAGTACACAACTCAAAAAGCAATCAAGGGAAGTGTATTGGCAGACCATTTGGCACACCAAGCAGTGGATGACTACCAATCTATGAACTTTGAATTTCCAGACGAGAATATCATGGTAGTGACTGATTGTGAAGTACCAGGACCGGATGAAGGACCTGAGGAAGGATCCCGATGGTCTATGCACTTTGACAGAGCCTCAAACGCTTTGGGTAACGGTATTGGCGTCGTGATCATATCCCCTAAAGGCACTCATACTCCACTCACCGCCCGACTATGTTTCAATTGCACCAACAACATGGTGGAGTATGAAGCATGTATCATGGGTCTTCAAGCTGCAATTGACTTAAGGATCAAGTTTCTGAGTGTCTTCGGAGATTCCGCTCTCGTGATCAGCCAGATCAAAGGCGAGTGGGATATGAAACACCTAAATCTTATTCCTTACAAGGAGTATGTACTGACATTGATCCCCCATTTCGAAGAGATAACCTTTAAACACTTCCCAAGAGAAGAGAATCAGTTGGCGAACGCGCTGGCTACGATGTCTTCTATGTTCAAAGTCAAATGGGACAATGAGGCTCCCCGGATCATTATTTGGAAATTGGATGAACCTGCACATTGCTGTGATCTTGAGGCTGAAGAGGTAACTGAAAAACCTTGGTATCATGAAGTGAAGAAGTACCTTGAAGCTCAAGAATACCCCGAGGGTGCATCTGTTAATGACAAGAATTTCCTGAGAAGGTTCTCGGCAAAGTTCTTCCTCAGCAATGGCATTCTATACAAGCGAAACCATGATTCAACCTTACTGCGTTGTGTGGATAAGACTGAAGCAGAAAGAATCATGGCAGAGCTGCATGAGGGTACCTTCGAAACACATTCAAGTGGACATACCATGGCAAAGAAAATCCTCCGAGCAGGATATTTCTGGTCCACAATGGAAGATGACTGTTACCAACATTCTCGGACGTGTCACAAATGCCAGATCTATGCAGATAAGGTGCATGTTCCTCCAGTTCCTCTGAACGTCCTGACAGCACCTTGGCCTTTTGCAATGTGGGGCATTGATATGATCGGCGAGATCAGACCTACGGCATCCAACAAGCATCGCTTCATCCTGGTAGCGATTGATTACTTCACAAAGTGGGTTGAAGCATCTTCCTATGCTACTGTAACCAAGAACGTCGTGGCACGGTTCATTCGGCACAACCTGATCTGTCGATACGGTGTACCTGAGAGGATCATTACGGATAATAGTACCAATCTTAACAACAAGATGATCATTGGGCTCTGCGAGCAATTCAAGATACAACACCATAACTCTTCTCCCTACCGGCCGAAGATGAATGGGGCTGTTGAAGCGGCAAATAAGAATATCAAGAAGATTATGCAGAAAATGACAGTGACCTACAAAGATTGGCACGAGATGTTACCGTTTGCTCTTCATGGATACCGTACCTTAGCACGGACGTCAACATGGGCAACACCCTTTTACTTGGTCTATGGCATGGAGGCAGTCTTGCCTATCGAAGTTCAGATACCCTCTCTTCGGATAATGAAGGATGCAGGTTTGAGCGAAGATGACTAGATCCAGACTCGACTTGATCAATTAAACCTGATTGATGAAAAGAGACTCACTGCTATTTGTCATGGTCAAACGTACCAAAAACGGATGATCAGGGCATTTAACAAGAAAGTTAGACGACAAGAGTATCAAGTCGGAGACCTGGTAATCAAGCGCATCATTCTTCCTCAAAGTGATCCCAGGGGAAAATGGACCCCTACGTACAAAGGGCCATTTGTGGTTAAACATATCTTCTCAGGAGGAGCTATGATTCTAACCACCATGGATGGTGACGACCTTCCTCACCCCGCCAATGCAGACATAGTAAAAAGATACTATGCATGAATTAAAGACCCGCTAGGTTGACACACCTAGGCAAAAATAAGGGCTTCCCGGCGAACCAAA